CCCCCCGACCAATGCAGGTGCTCATCACCGACGACGGCAGTGAGATGCTCGACCGCGACGCCACGGGCGGCCTCGTGCCCATCAGCGCCTACGGCATCACCGACGGCTCCCACGTCACCCTGCGCATCCAGGTGACGCCAACACCCCCACCTTGTCACATGCGTCAGCCGGGCCAACTCACGTGCGCTCGTTGCAGGTCCCAGTGCAGGCACTGACCTGGCGGGGTGGGTGCTGTACCCGCCCCTTGCCTTGCAGCGCCCCTGAGCTGGGGCCCCTGCAGAGCGATTCCGTGCGCTCTTGTGGGTGCAAATCTCCCCCAAACAAAAATATATACACAATACAATATACACAACACACAAAAAAAGCACACAAAACGCACACAACAAACACACAAGACACAAGACACAAGACACAAGACACAAGACACAAGACACATCCAAAACCACACACGGGACAGCAGTATGCTGTACATGTCTGTGTTCAACAAGTCTGCCCCGAAACCTCTGGCAGGTACCCGGTGTGGACGACCTGGATGACGTCCCGCTGGTAGACGAGGCGATAGTGTCATCAGCCTTCGCCCTGGGGGTGCTGCAGGTGGGGGCGCCCGTGAGAGGCCGTGTGGTTGAAGGGTGCGTGCGGGGGAGTCCGCGGGTACGGGCGCGTGCCGTATGGGGAACGTTCCCTGGGTGGAGGGGATGCTTTTGTCGTCCCACTCGCGGCTTGGGGGTGGGTGGGATGGCGTGTGGTGTGGTTTCTCGGCCTATTTTGGTGGCAGGTTTGAAATGGACGTCGCTTAGGCCGTGAGGGTTGAGGGGTGGGGCATCTGCAGGGGAATGCAATGGACGGGCCCGGTAGCGTGACAGGTTGCAAGTCGGGGGGTATGTCAGCAAGCGTTCACAACGCTGCTGAGCCCAATGCCAATCGCAAGCCAGTTGACCGTGCATGAGATTTCGGTCAATAGATATGGAGCATAATGCGAAGTAACGTCGACTCCCGGCCTCCCGTCCCCAAGGCACTCGTGAGTGCAACCTCAACAGCACCCCGAATGAACCCAGCACCCGGACCTGCTTTATCAAAGACGCGTGCGTCCGCCATCCCCCCCCTTGGGCCCCCTGCGCCATGCTCCGGCAACGCAGGGGCGCGGCGGCGGCAACGGCCGCAAGACGCGGTGGACGCAGGACCAGATCGTGGCCCTGATAGAGGGGGTGGAGCGGCACGGCCTCAGCGCCTGGCGCACGATAGTGCAGGTGAGGGTGCCTAGGGGGTGTGGGGTGCTGGGGCTGGGTTTTTGCGGGTGGAAGAGGGTGCTTGTATGCGCATTTAGTGGGGATTTGTCTGGTGGGTGCGGTGAAATTGTGCAGCTTTACATGCTGTCATACGAATGCGGCTGGTGTGTCGGGTAGCAGGGTTTCAAAGCCAGAGCAGGGCGAGGGACAGTCATGTCGGCGAGAAGGATTAGCAGCATGTCGCTGTGTAAGACAGCTTGTGTATGTGTTTCTTTGGAGGGATGCGCGGGCACCGGCGGCATGCCGCCAACATCATGTAAGTTGCTGTGTGCAACTGTGCACGCTTTTTTTGGGAGTAAAACTTCATGGGCATTGCTCTTCTTCACGTCACTGCATCGCGCCGAGGATTGCGAACGCGTTTGTGTGCAACACACCATGTCGACGTTTGCACTCTGCGCTGACACCTGGCCCCTGCCCAAGCACCTCTTGCTCATATCCGAAATCGCCCTGCACCCCTCTGTCCGCCCCCTGGCCGCCAGGACCCCCGGCTGGCCGGCAAGAATAACATGCAGTGCAAGGACAAGTTCAGGAACCTTTGCCTCACAATTATTCAGGTCAGCTTGGGGGGGGTGGCATGTTTAGGAACCTCTGCCTCACTATTATTCAAGTCAGCCTGGGTGGGCGCCGGGGGCCGGGGGGCCAAGTTCGGGGACCTTTGTCTCACAATAATTCTGGTTTGGCAGGGGGGTTGAGATCTTCACTACTGTATGTTGGGTGTGTGGGTTTTCACAGCGCCAAGGTGCGCATGCCCACACACTAACACACATATTATCTCACTAACAATCTCACAAACATACATTCTCTCTTGCTCTCTCTTTCTACACGCACACACACCCTCTCCCTTTCACTCACACACACACACACACGATCACACAACACAACACAACCACACACACATACACATGTACAACCCCCCCCACACACACACACAACACACACAGGGTCGCCCCGAGCGTGGGCTGACGCTGGACTGGCGGCTCAAGGACCGCGTGAAAACACTCATAGAGCAGGAGAGCATCAAGGTGCGTGGGTGTGCGCTGGCGGGTGCTAGTAATGCGCTTGTTTACGCTGAGTTGGTATTAGGGGTTTGGGGGGTGATAGTCGGTATTGCCTCGGGCTGGCTGGCACTTCTAGGAATACGCTGGGCTTTCTGTGAATGCAGCCTGGTTCGTGACTGTGCAGGTAGCCTCCTCTCTTCTCTTAATCACCACCACCACCGCCACAAGTTTTGACCTCTCCTCCTCCTCACCACCACCACCACTGTCACCACGACCAGTTTTGACCGGCCGGACGCTGGCCCAGCGGAGAACGCTTGATGACCCTGCAGGGCTGCAACAGCGACTCCCTATTGCGGCTGCATCAGTGGCAGAGGGATGCCCCGAGTGGCTGTCCCTTCAGCTTGGGCAAGGCAGCGGCACTGATTACACGCGGCCCCCTCCCTTCACCCTGTGGGCTTAACCCTGACGATCGACTATGTGACTGGACGCAGGCACCCACTCTGGGCATAGCCCCAGCCATGAAACGGGGCTGGCCTCTTCCAAGTGACCAGCTGGCCGCCATGTGGCTTTGAAAAGCGATCCGCGACGCATGTTTGCGACATGTGTGATTTTACCCGTATTCACTGCCTTGCCTTGATGCCTTGGTCCCCTGCCCCCTCCCTTGGCACACTCACAACGGCGCTGTGGTGACTTACTTTCACTTCAAGTGATCAACATGCCCGCGTGTTTGACACAACTTACTGCAGGGCCCCTCGGCTTGGTTTACTCGACGCTGTTTTGCAGGTTGCTGGTATTGACCTTGTCGTGACCACCTCACTGCAACCGCCTTCCGCACCTATTGGTTCATGCATCTCGGGGACACGGCGACAGATCACCTCCTGTGTAACTGTCACAGCTAGCCGAGCCGCCTGCCCTGTGGTAGTGGTGGCGCTGGTGTGTGCTTGGCTTTGCACCTGCCCGTCACTTGTGAAGAGCAGAGTAAGAACGGCACGAGCACAAGTCAGAAGATACTGTGGCATGTTCTTGAGAAAGCTGCGGGTGAAATCCAGCATGTGCATTATGGTGCTACGTACCTGCATCATCACGAGATCCCCACACCATCTCCATGTGGCACGCCACAACAGAGATGAGGGCACCGGCGCAAGGCTCGTGCCTAATCGTCAACGGCGGCCGATCCCAGCAGAGCGGCAGGCGAGCTCTGGTTGGGCCAATTGTACACCGCAGCAGCACTGGGATTGCTGATGGAGCGAGGCACCAACCTGCTCACTGCACACACAACTCCAACCGCTGACCGTGGCACACGGGTAGCTTGGCGGGAGCCAAGGGTAGTGGTGCCCGAGTGTCACTTGTTGCCCATTCATTCATTACAGGCAACGTTCATGACATGATCTCGCCCTTGTCGAATTTACACGTGCATCATGGTGCATGAACAACAGGATCGCCGGCCTGCCCTGCCGCACAAGCAGCCTCTCTGACATAGAGCGGCGGCCCAGCGGGCGCAGGGATGCCGCATCGCCGCCAGCTCAACTGTGACCCATGAAGCCAACCGCCGCGACCTGTTGTTATGCAGAGGGTATTTTAATGCCATGTTTCTGCCGTGATACCGCGGCCAGAGTTGACAGCCTGACACGGTGCGATCTGACAGTGCCACCGCAGCCGTGAGCGGGCGTGCTGGCTGTGAATGATCGAGGTTGCACCTCGGCTTGCTTATTTGACGGTCCCTGAGGCCAACAAGAGACGTCTAGAGCTAGCACGGCTGATCTATGGACCCTGGCGAGCTTGACGAGGGCCTGTATGGCCGTATAGATGGGGTCACGTGCTCAGGGCCCCTTGGAGACGGCGACGTGTGGCAGCGCGGCCGCTACAAGTCGCGCAATGTCGCGCTGCGGCCGCTGGAGCTGCCAAGCGCCGCCGAAAAGAAGACTTCGGAGCGCGGGCTGATGCGCGCGCGCGACGCCTTCACAGCAGAGATGGCCCTTACAGACCACAGCCTGGAAGGTGAGCCCGTTCGTAGGTACTCCCTCGAGCACGGGCCCCGAGGCGACCACAGCCGCTCGTTAGCTGTCGCCTCCCGCCTGCCTGCCAGGCTCCCCGGGGCCTGCCCCGACCCCCACCTTTGTCTCCATCCGCCCTTGATTTCCCTCCCATGTGGTTGCTGACGCAGGCATCGCGGTGTGCCAGGGCGTGGCTGTGGTCGACGGCAAATCCTATGCCGTGTATCAAGAGTTTGAGGAGACCATGCTTTCGTTTGGCAGGGGCCGCCGGGCCAGCAACCCGGAGGCGTTCTTCGACGCAAACGGCATCACGCCGCTCGGCAGGAAGGTGCGTGTGCGATCTGACCGTACAAGCGATGGGCGTGCGTACATGCTCAGGCAATCTGTGCTGACGGTGCACCGGGCCTTGCTGGCGCATGCGTGCTGGCTGGTGTGCGCAGGCTCGTGCGTGCAGGCCCGCGCACGCAGGCTCGTGCGCGCAGGCCCGTGCGCGCAGGCTCACAGACGGAGCCGCGCGCGTGCATTCCATCGCCTCCCATCCTGCCCCAGCCCCGCCCACCATGCGCGACCCACACACGCACGGCAGGTCTGCGCCGGCATGGCGGCGCCGCTGATGAGCCTGAGGAGGCTCAACCTGGTGCACCGCAGCCTCTCGGCGTTGGCGTTCATGCAGACCCCAGATCGCCGCGTGCTCCTGACCGGCCTGGCCGACGCGCTGCCCGCCACCACCCCGATGTCGAGCATCATGGATCGCATGAACTACAAGGGAGTGATTTTGGGGGCCATGTCCCTGGAGCCTCCTGCGGCAGGTGCGATCTGCTTCAAAAAGGGTGGCAGGAATGGTTTGGGATCCCTTGTCGTTGCGGCGTCGCCGGCGCCTTGCTTGAATTATGCCAGCGGTCTTGCCCTCTGCAGCTCTAAACCCTAGATGCTGGCTAGCTGGATGTGCCCCAGACTGTGCTGAGCACATAATGTATACGGGAGCCCTCACTGCGACAAGTGCACGTCTCGTTCGCAGCGACGCGTCTCAGCGACGCGTCGCTACCACGCGACCCCCAATCACTGCCCTGAAGGCTGCCCGGCGCTCCTGTGCGCCCCTGCCCCGCCGTTCCCCCCACAGGCGCGTGCGGCGCGCTCTGCCTGGCCCCAGAGCAGCACGAGCTGCTGCAGCTGCAGGGGTCGCTCCTGCAGGCGCCCGGGCACCGGGCCGGCACGTGCACTTTCATGGCACACACCACTGACGTGTACCTGTGGGCCAGCGCGGTCCACGAGACGCTGACTGGGCAGCCGTACGCCGCCTATGCATCAGATGCAGGCGCCCTGCTGCAGGTGCGCAGCGGGCCCCGTGTGTGGCCACGCCGCACGCCGGGGCTTGGTGAGGCTGAGGAGCGTGGTCGAGCCAGTGGCCCGTGGCTCGAACTGGCTGCGGGGCAGGACATGAACGCAAATGCTGGCAGGGGGGGGGGGCGCTGGGTTCCGGTGGGTTTAACGTGTTGGCAAACCTGACGGCAACGCTGCTTCCGCGGTCCCTCCAGCCCCTGCGCTGCGGAAGCGCGAGGCCCCCGCGCACGCCCGCCACGCCACGCCATGCCACGCCTCGCCGCCGTGCCCCGCCGCACTGCGCCGCGCCGCGCCGCGCCGCTCGTCGACGCTCGATACCTTGCTGGCCCGCCCGCCCGCGCGCCGCCCGCAGCTCATGTACGGCGATGATGCGGCCCCAGAGCTCCCCCTGATTGAGGACGAGGTGCTGCGCGACCTGCTGCGGTGGGTGCATGCACCACCCACCCTCTCATCCGCTCCCACGTGCTGCAGTGGGTGGGACTGTGCTGTCGCTAATATCTAGTAGCGCCCCGCACATGGGCGCGGCCCCGCCGCTGATGTGAGAGTGCGGGCGTGCGCACGCGTACTTGTACGCGCGGGTGGGCATTTGCGGATTGTGAGCATGCACGCATGCATGCACTTGCCGGCTCAGCATGCTGTCGATGCGGGACGGCGGTGTGCAGGAGCAAGGTTGGTTGCAACCGGCCAGATCCGCAGCTACTCTGGTCATCACCCCCAGCCAACCCCAACCCTGCTAGGCCGCTGTTGCCCCCAGGGCTCCCTCGCTCCCTTCCCCGGCCTGCCTCATTCCCGCGTTTGACCCCCCCCCAGCCTGGCGCTGGCGCCCAACCCGTTCCTGCGGGCAACGTCCGAGGTGGTGGCGGGACACCTCCTGTTTTGGGAGGAGGACCCCGCCGCCGTGCGCCGCTTCTTTGCCCGCGTCAACGCGGCCATGAACGGCGACGCCGCCAGCCCTGCGGGGCGTCTGCGCAGGGAGCTGGACGCAGTCGTGCTGGTGAGGGCGGTCGCTGATGAGGCCGTTCGCCGATTGCGGGGGGCAGGGGTGGGCGAGGGGAGGCATGCTGGGGCAGGGAATGGGGCCGTGCGGGCACAGGCGCGGGCGCCCCCGTGGGGGCGGAGG